ACCCTACATTCTTTTTCCCTGCCATTGCAGCTATTACTAATTACAGCAACAAAGGAATTATGTCTCACCCTTTCCTTACAACTATTTTTACATATACACCCAACTAGCCAATTCACAGGCGTTAGACACACCACTCCTAAGTCCCACTCACAGCTTTTGCTTGGGTGGCTGATTGCAATGTAATAGTTGCTTCAATCCATGGGTGGTTTTTTTTTTGTTTTGTTTCTTTTTATCCCATCCATGTTTCTCATTCTCCTGTTTATCCTGTTTTCCAAAACCACATATTCCAGTGAGTCTGGGCGATTTCAGCAAACCCCACCATTTTGACATCAACTGCTCAAATATTTTCTTTTAGAGGGATCAGCACAAGGCTGGTGGTCCTTATGAGGCAGAAGTTAAAGATGTCCCAAATTTCCAACTCTTCCAAACTGCTGTACCACTCCATCATCTCTAACATGAACTACCCCCCTCCCCTCAGTACTCTCCCTCCTGTCTTAAGAGTTCCATATATCACCGTAACATCTTATAAAATTCAACAAACTGCCAAGCAAATGGCTCACACAGTGGTGGAAGCTAGCAAGTTACAAATCTATGGATAGGGTTTCATTCTGAAGGACTCTCCTCATTCACCTAGTTGCAGGGGCAATGAAGCCAAATTGGCAGGTCAGATGGCTAGTTGCTCTCTCAAGCCCTAAGGACCAAGGGCAAGATAATTTCAGACCAGATTCAGGATCCAGATCAGAAGAGAACTTTGGCAGAGCATTCATATATATATAGCATCAAGGAAATTAAGGGTGGCAACTTGAGTCACACTCTAGTAAGGTGGGACTCAAGATATATCCCACCCTAATCCTGCCTCATAAACAGACAACTCATCCCAAAATAGGATGATAACCACAGGTATAGAGGCTAGGATTTACAATACATTGCAAAATGCAGGACTATACCTAGAAAGGCCATACTAAGTAACTCACTGCACTGCAATGGTGAATGCACAAACTATGGTGTGTCTATCCAACAGAATAATGCAATGCAAGAAAAGGAACAAATTGCTCATACATTCAGCAACTTGGGTGACTCTCAAATACATTATGCTAAGACAAGAAGCCAGAATAAAAAGCAACATCATGCAGGATATGTACAGGAAGAGTTGCCAGGGATTCCTTAAGTCTTTTAAGAAGGTGTGACTTAAAAAGGACAGCACAAGCAAGGTTTCTGGAAGGAAGAGCCATACTATTCTGCATTCCCACTGGCTGCTGATTATGAAACAGAATGCACCTGTCAACTGACATTCCAAAAGTGAATGAGAGTTGTGAAATTTTGAGGAAAAGACTCCAATGGTGATAATATGATGTGTGAACAGTATTTATCTAACAACTCTTCCTGGTGAATACTGACTTTCATGGTTTCCACCATCACTACAATTAACAGACACTATCATGGCACCCAGAGATCTCCATGGAATCATTCTACGAAGGGAATTGCTGGGTTAAGGAAAGGTCTAACGGGAAAGCTTCTCTACTTAAGTTGTAAATATTGGTCTATCCCCATCTGGAGCAAAGTGTGACGAAAAAGATACATGGAAACAATTACTCCAAAAGACTAATGGACCACGTGAACCTCCGTATCCAAGACCCTGAGACTAGAACTAGATGGTGCCTAGCTACTATTGCCAACCATTCTGAAAGGGATCACAATAGGAGATCCTGGATAGAATGGGAGAAAAATGTGGAACACAACTCAAAATCATAAAAAGATCAGGCTTACTGGTTTGACAGAGACTGGTGGAACCCCCAAGACTATGGCCCTTGCATACCCTTCAAGCCTGGGACTGAAGTCACCCCCATGGCTCAACTTACAGCCAAACGACAGGCTTATAATGTGAACAATAACACCAGTGAAGTACGCACTCCTTAGAACAACCACACGATATAAAGAGGTCAGCATTTGCCCAGGGAGAAACCACAGAAGGCAAGAAAAGATAGGAAAGAAGGAAGAATGGAAACTATAAACACAGGGAGGAAGTGGGAAGAGGGCTGTTACACTGTGGAGACCACAATGAATGTCACAAAATGGGTATGAACTGTTGAATGGAAAACAAACTTGATATGTATACTTTATTTTTCATTCAACAATTCATACACAAATCACAATAGAAAGAAAAAAATTAATAGGAAGGCTTCTGCTACCTGTGCCCACCATCTCCCAGGCCCACGAGGAGTCACAGAGGCAGCTCCCGCTTTCTTACAAAGTTAAGAGGGTCAGGGTAAGGGTAGCTCTGGATAAACCTCCAGGCCCAACAGCCCCTTGCCTTGTCCCCCACTAGTACATGAATCCTACTTGGGCTCCCACATTCTCCAGGCCCTGAAGGTGGAGCACCAGCTGGTATTCCAGCCAAGCCCAGCAATGGCACCATTCATTCCCAACCCAGTGCACACCCTTGTACTGTCAGAATTACCAAAACAAGGACTCTGTCACTGACCACAGGCTCTGTGCCAGCGCAGGACAAAAGACCATTGTAACTAGGTCAAGTCAGGCTCTGTGTGGGCCCTCCCAGAATGAGCCATCCTTCCATGGAAACCTTGTCACATCTGTGGGATGATTCTGGACTAACAATTTCCATGCAGCTTCCTCATGATTAAACCAGAGATCGTGATAGTGGTCAGGGAGAACATACAATGCAGAAATACCCACTACTACACATCAGACAGACAGTACAATCCTCATGCTATTAAAAACATTTATTTGTATTAAGAAAAGGATGGGAAAATAACCAAAATATCAAGTGTGTTCTAGTGCAAGGAATCATCTAAATTCCTGAGGGGCAATAAAAACCAGGATCAGCACCAAGCTGGAGCCTATGAGGTGGAGGCCAAACAAACCTCCACTAACTTCTTCATTACTGACACCATCTGTCCTCCCACATGGTACTCTATACTTCTCTGCTGGGCTCAATAATTTGTTGCATTGGCCACACAGAACTCACAGACCATGCTCACAGTTATGTGGTTTATTAGGGAAATAACAGGCAACAATTTGGGATCAGGATCGGGAAGCACATAGGTGAAGTGTGGCAGGGTTCCCTGAATCAGTGAGCACACCCCTCCTTCCCCTCTGCAGTGCAGTATCACTGTTGGCTCCTCTTGGCTGTGAAAGCAGGAAGGCCCTTCTCTAGCCTGTGCAGGCACCCATTCTTCACCCCTCAGGACAGACCTCTTCTTGGTTATGCAGGCCCCTCTCAGCCTTGCACATCCCCTCTCGAGGCCAGGCAGGCCTCTCTGCCTTTGTTGGTCTCTCCACTGTTAACCAGCACAGCACACAGCCAGTGCAGCACCAACAGCTTTCTGCAGTCACTGTCAACTCTGCTGCAGGGCCTCTTTTAGGCCTGTCACCGCTGAATCTGCCACAGGTCCCCTCCTGGGCACCATGACAACTTCAGTGTTATAGTTCTTTTAGGAGGTTTCTTCTCCCCTCTCTCTTTGCTTCTTCTTTCTTCTCACCCCTCCGAAAGCTTCTGTGGGTTGGCTGCTTATATAAGCAAATTCCTTTCTAATGTCTAGGCATGGCCCTCAAAGCAAGACAACAAAGTTACCCACCTTCCATGTACCACAAATCACTCGATTTGCATAGTAAACAGACCAACCCTTCAAGATGAATATAACAGATAAATTACAGGGCAGACTGTAACCCAGGGGCAGGCAAAAAATAGCAAACCATCAAGTTATTTACAACGTACCCAGAAATGGTCAATCAACTTGGGCAAAAGTCACAAATTCTCTAGAGTATAAAATCAAGGCAAAGGTAACTCCTATGGGCGTAGGGGGAAAATCTGTCAAGCTCTTCTTACAAAGAATGAAGTCCAAAGACCACACAGAGGAACTCATTTCACACACCCAAAATGATGAGATTTTAACTGATTTTTGCTTTTTCCATACATTTTCTACTTAAAGTCAAACTTTCTACAATCAGAACATTACTTTATACACTAAAAAAAAATTAAAAGTTAACATAATTGATAAAAAGAAAACAAGCTTCAAAACACACATATTGATAACACTTTTACATAAACAAAGAAAAAAGCAAACACTACTTATCAAAATTCATATCCTAATGTTAAAAGGAGATTTAGACTGATATTTTCACCTTAATGTTACATCAGAATATTAAATGGTGGAAAGTAATGCACATACAGATGAGCCTGTGGGAAATCCCATAGTTGTAACTTCGATAAGATTTCTCCCCTGGTATGAATTTCCTTGTGGACAAAAATGGAAATGATGTAAAGGATTTCACATGACTCTGAAGGGTGTCTCAGGGTGTGAGGTCTCCTAGGCCTCCTGAGGGAGACAGGACACTGAAGGCTTCCATCATCTTTTATATTCATAGGATCTATCCACAATGTCATATTGCACGTGTTGCATGTATTGAAAAAAAACTTGAAGATGTCCCCAGGAACCTGACATTTACATGCTGTCTCTCCAATGTCACCACTATCAATTCTTATATATAGGGAGGCTTTATCATATATGTAAATTGGAATGTCTTTGAAAATGTGGAGAGGAAAACAAACTTCCTCACAGTCCTCACACACATGGTTTCTCTGTGATGTATCTTCTTTCAGGTCAGAAAAAAAAAAGAGAGAGAGATTCAAGCATTACCTAAATGTATACTGTCTCTCTTCGCCATCCTTTGCAGATGTGCTCCAGAGGATGAGAGACATATGAAGACTTTCCCATGTTACTACTTAACACTTCTCCCCACAGGAAATACTTACATGATCAGTGAGGCTGAGGATTCACAAAGCCATTTCCACATTCTATATATTCAAGATACTTCTCTACAGGTGATTTCTTACATATTCCATAACGAATGAGGAATAATTAAGTGTTTTCCCACATTCCTTACATTCATGAAGGTTCTCACACTGGGAGAACACAACATTCATTATCTACATTCAATAAACATTGAAGACTGACTAAAGGCTTTGCCACATGTCTTACTTAAGGCCTTTCCCCACTGTGAGTCCTCCTATGTTTAGAGAAGGTTGAGGACTGACTGAAGGCTTTCCCCTGTTCCTTACATTCATAAGGCCTCTGTCCACTATCAGTTCTCACATGTCCAGTGAGGTGTGAAGACAGATAGAAGGCCTTGCTGCATTTATTACAGTCCTAAGGACTTTCTCCACTGTGAATTCTTATATGTGTAGTGAAGGCTGAGAAATAACGGAAGTCTTCCCCACATTCCCTACATACATAAGGTTTTTCACTACTGTGAGATTTTATATGTTTAATGAGGTGTGAGGACTGACTAAAGGTTTTGCCACATTCCTTACATTCAAAAGGCCTCTCTCCACTGTGAGTTCTCATATGTATAGTGAGGGATGAGGAATGACGAAAGGCTTTGCCACATTCCTTACATTCATAAGGCCTCTCTCCACTGTGAGTTCTCATATGTATAGTGAGGACTGAGGACCAACTAAAGGCTTTGCCACATTCATTACATTTATAAGGCCTCTCTCCACTGTGAATTCTTACATGTTTAGTCAGGTCAGAGAACTGCCGAAAGTCTTCCCCACACTCCTTACATACATAAGGTCTCTCTCCACTGTGAGTTTTCATATGTCTAGTGAGGTGTGAGGACAGACGGAAGACTTTGTTACACTCTTTACATTCATAAGACCTGTATCTGCTGTGAATGTTGCTATGTTTAGTGAGGTCTGAAGACTGCATGAAAGCTTTGCCACATTCTTTACACTCATAAGGTTTATCTCCACTGTGGACTCTTACATGTTTAGTGAGGTCTGAGGACTGAATAAATGCTTTGCCACATTCCTTACATTGATAAGGCCTCTCTCCAGTGTGAATTCTCATATGTCTAATGAAGTCTAGAGACCGAACAAAGCCTTTGCCACATTCCTTACATTCATAAGGCCTCTCTCCACTGTGAATTCTTACATGTGTAGTGAGGGCCGAGGAACAAGTAAAGACTTTGCCACATTCCATACACTCATGAGGCCCCTCCCCACTCTGAATTGCTGTATGTGTACTGAGGACTGAGGAATCACTAAAGGCTATGCCACATTCCTTACATTCGTAAGGCCTCTCTCCACTGTGTGTTCTCATATGACTAGTGAGGAGTGAGGACAGATGAAAGGCTTTCCTACATTCCTTAGACTGAAAAGGCCTCTCTCCACTGTGAGTTCTTATATGCATAATGAGGTCTGTGGACTGACTAAAGCCCTTTCCGCATTCCTCACATACATAGTGTTTCTCTCCAGTAACACTTCTCACAGAAGGGCTGTGGTAAGAGGGACAACTGCAGGCTTCTCCACAGTCCTCACACTGACAGGCACTGGATCCAGAGTGAGATCCGACATGAGGGTTAAGTGATGAATGATCCATCAGGGATTTTCCACATTCAAGCCATTCAGAAGGATATGCTTCCACAGCAGTTCCTTTCAACACAGAAAGATCTGGAATCTGCCCGGAGGTCTGTCCACACTCACTGTCTTCATCCATACTTTCACAGAGGTTCTCTACTACACGCCTGCTGTGAAAAAATAGGCAGCATGTTGTTGGACACAAATTTGTTACCATTTTATCATTAGCCTACACAGTAATCAAGTGTATTTTTTTTCCCCTGAAATGTCTCATGTTTCATATATTTAAGTCATCTGGCAGAGATGCCACCACTGTTTCTCTGTGTCTTTCTGATAACTGTATATGGATGAAATATGTTTCAAATATTCAGTATCTGACCCACATTTATGACAATATTGTACTGTGAAAGTTAGAGTTGGTTTTATATACATATATAAGATATCCATATGGCAAAGAAGGTTTGCACTCGACTAAAACGTAAAGGTTGGTGATTTGAACCCACCTAGAGACACTATCATAAGTCAGAACAGACTCAACAGCAATGGCTTCAAGATATCTATGTAGTCATGCTCCACACTACATCTGTTTGGGCAACTTCTGATGATCCATTCATCTGTGGTTCCATAAGGTTATCATAGAATTCATTAAAACATCTTTAACATGGTAACACAGTAATAATGTCAACAACAATAATAACACTTTGGTGTCCACCACAAAGTACTGCCCATTTGTTATTAGGAACTAATGTATATGTTTCAAATTTTTATTTTGAAAGGCTTTATGGGAGCTGGTTAGGAACTGCAGGTTGTACATAAGTCAGACATTCATAACTCGGGAACACAATGTCCAAATCCCATAAGATCCTCTTTCACAGAACGTATCATGGACATTAAGTGACACATCAATATGTATGTATATGAATACATATAGGATGACTATGTATATATAAATATACACATACAAACACACAAACACCATACAGTAGAACCTTGAATAACATAGGGGTTTGGAGTGCCAATCCCCAACACAGTCAACAATCCAAGTATAACTTTGGACTCTTCAAAAACTTAACTACTGTTGACTATAAGCCTTAATAATAACAGCCAATTAACACATTTCTTGCCATACAGTTATTAGATTTTTATATGAAGACACTCACACACATACAAAAGAGGTAAGTTTATTAACAGTCTGGCATGATGATTATTTACTACCCATTAAGTGGGAGCAGATGATCACAAAAGTCTTCACCCTCATCACCTTCAGTTTAAATAGGCTGAGGAGGTTGAGGAACAGGAGGTTGGTCATGCTGTCTCAGGGGTGGCAGAGACAGAAGACCCGGAGGAGGTGGAAGGGGAGGCAGGAGAGGCAATCACATTCAGTGTAACTTTATGGAATGCTTCTATAGGGCACTAATCTTTCTTCTACCATTTGCTTTAGTTTCTGTGCCTATATCACAGAAAGGTAAAACAGGTGAAAGGCAGTCTTGAATAACTGAGACCCTTCTGCCAGATTAGCTAATGGCAATTTGTCTTCTGGCACTGCTTCTTCTGCATTTTCGTCCTCACTGTCTGGCCCTGCTTCCCAGGCACTCATCTCTGTTAACCCATCTTCAGTTAATTCCTCTGGTGTGGTGTCTATTAGCACTTGGATTTTTCCAAGATCCTTATCTTGAAACCCTTCGACCCCCACCTTTTTTGGTCATATCCACAATCTCATGATATCCCTGGTTAGGTCCCTGTTGTAAATCCTGTGAAGTCAAGCACAATATGTGGACAGTTTTCTACAAGAGGAATTTATTGTCCCAGACTCGATGGTTTCATGGCTTTTTCAACAACAACGATGGTATCTTCCAAGGTGTGATCCTTCCAGACTTCCATGATGTTCCACTGGGGGTCTCTTCCACAGTGTTGACAATCTATTGAGTACTGTGTGTAATGAGCCTTAAAGGTCCTTATGACCCCCTGATCAAGGGTCTGAATGAGAGACACTGTGTTTTGGGGGCAAGAAGACCATTTTAACGCTTCTGGTGTTAACTCATAGGTTCTGGGTGGCCAGGGGCATTGTCTAACATCAAAAGCACTTTAAAATGCAGTCCCTCACTGGCAAGGCACTTCTGGAGTTCAGGGGCAAAGCATCAAAGGAGCCAACCCGGAAACAGGGTTTTCATCGTCCAGGTATTCTTGTGGTACAACGAAAACCCCGGCAGCTGGTGGTGATCTTTTCCCTTTGAGGCTCGAGCATCAGCAGCTTTATAGATAGGGCAGTCCTAATCATAAACCTGAGTGCATTTGCACAAAACAGCAGAGCCAGCCCTTTCCTTCCTGCCTTCAATGCTGGTGCTCATCTTCCTTCCTTACTAATTAATACCCTCTGTGGCATTTTTTCTGGTATAGGGCAATTTCATCTTCATTTAAAATTTCAGGCAGATATCTTTTCTCCTCAATAATTTTTTTTTCAGAAGACATTTTCCTGATATGAATTCTTTATTGAAATTCAATCAATTCATTTTATGATTAGAAAGCAAACAGAAAATTAATAGCGTATTAGCTGATAGTTGAAAAACAATTACTTGTAAGGAAGAACACCTTTAGCACTTGTTCTGGTTACCTAGTGCTGTTCTGACAGGAATATAGCACAAATAGGATGGCTTGAACAAATAGGAGTTTATTCTCTTACAGTTTGGGAGGTAAGAAGTCTGAGTTCAAAGTGCCAGGTTCTAAGGGTTGTGTGAACCCCCTCGACTATGGGCTTCAGATCTGCCTCTTGCTCCCAGTCCACTGAAGCTAGAGGCAACTCTTCACTCAGGCAGCTACTAGCTGCTGAGGCTAACAAGCCCAAGATCGACAAATAAAATGGCACAGTCCTGATGTTACCAAACAACACGGCAGGCCATTGATTCAAGTCCACTGAAAGTCCCAGGATTGGCAGAGCATGGCAGGCTGCTGAACAATGAGATGGCTACATATAGCATTCAAGCATGCCATAAGCTAGAGACTGTTCCCCAAGACTTCTTCATGGGGGAAGATATCTCTAGGGGAGCTATTCAGCTGCTCACAGTAGATTCCACCATGGAGCTGATTAACAGTGTCATCATGGGGAATACTACACCCAGCTGCCCAGCCACTCAACCAGGCCCAGCCAAACTGACATACAACTTTAACCATCACAGCATTCCTATATTAAGGTAACTGCTACTTTTAAAATATTGTGCCTACCCCCAGAAGGTTCCTGTAAAACCCAGAAGACCTTACCGACTGCAAGCTTAGATAATGTTTCCACATCTTTATGCTACAATTTAACCATCAGAACAAAACAAGAGTGGAGCAAATGTGTGGCTGCCTCTATGATGCACTCCCTAAGGATCTTCTTAGTGGCATCTGGGAACTCGTCTGCTGCCTCTGTTTGGCAGAACTGCTTCTGTTATCTTGACATCTCCAAGCCAAACTTCTTTCTAAAATTATCACATCATCCTTTGCTGGCATTAACTTCTCCAGCTTTAGATCCTTCACCTTCATTTTGCTTTAAGTTGTCATATAATGCCTTCACTTTTTCTGGCATTATATTAGAATCTATAGCTATTCCCTTCTTACAGTAATCCTGCAGCCACATAAATAAGCAGAGATAAAAAGGTGTTCTGCCCCTGCTGGAGTAGCTGCAGCAAGAGCTTTGTGATTTTCCCTTTCTTTTCTTACAGTGGTCCTTGAGTGGTGGGCAACCACAGCTGCAGGTCCCAATATATAGTATACTCAACTCACTGCTATCAAGTCATATCTGACTCACAGTGACCCCTTCTTGAGTTTCCAAGGCGGTATCACCACAGAAGTAGATTGCCCAATCTTCCTTCTAAGGAGTGGCTGGTGGGTTTGAACACCAGCATTCTTGTTAGCAGTCAAATGCCTTAGGCACTATGCTACCAAAGCCCCTAATCTACAGTATAAAGCAAGCAATTCAAATTTTTCTATAATGTCCTGACTTTTTTTCAGCTTCTTGGAAGCACTTTCACCATCAGCAGTGGCATTGCACATGAGTGTCACAGTGTTATTCAAGGTTACAGTATTGTAAATAAGCATCATGAAAAACATCACCTTTTACTGCAATCTACAATTTATGGAGAGACCAATTGCTCCCATGGAGATGACCAGAGTCACACAGCATCTTAAGCGGATACTAAACAACATTTGAGCTCATCGCACTAGCAACAGGATGTGACAGTAGTACAGGATGTACAACAATTAATTCTATGCAATTATGTTTTAACACTGCATTTTTGTTTACATTTTGCTCAACTGAAAATGGCACCATGTACTATGTTTTTATATGTCTAAGTTTTGATAAATGTTAATTCT